TGACATTGTTACAAGCCAAGTATTGTAACTGACATTGTTACAAGCCAAGTATTGTAACTGACATTGTTACAAGCCAAGTATTGTAACTGACATTGTTACAAACCAAATGTTGTAACTGACATTGTTACAAGCCAGGTGTTCTAACTGACATTGTTACAAACCAAATGTTGTAACTGACATTGTTACAAGCCAAGTGTTGTAACTGACATTGTTACAAGCCAAGTGTTGTAACCGACATTGTTACAAACCAAGTGTTCTAACTGACATTGTTACAAGCCAAATGTTCTATTTCAGTGAGGTATGTTTGTGTAGTTGATGTGTTATATTCTTACCATAAGAAATCATGGGGGTATCTCTCATTGGATTATCCTTTATAATTTCTGATATTTTTTGTAACAGTAGTAGTAAAGAGATAGCAAAAAAATTGATTGATTTTTATATATCAACTATTATTCATTTTATGTTAGGAAATTTAACTATTGAATTGCAGTTTCAAAAGTCTTAATTTTGCCAAAACAACTGATAGAAATGCTGTTTTGATTTTAAACAATATAGTATAACAAACTATGACTTTACCAAGGATTTTTCTTTCCCTGTCAGCCCCTTTCCTGAAGAGGGTTTAGAGTTTACGACACTGTGGTGTCGTAGGGTGAGAGGTAGCATGCAGGCTGTGAGTTGCCAGCTACGAAATTATCCTCAGACGTTATTAGAAATCAAAGAGTTCCATGTATGGGGTCGCCTTGTTGGGGCCGAACAAGAAGCAGCACCTCGAGGTAGGCTTCAAAAATACTGTTCCCAGGTTATTATTAAGAGTTGAAACACTTTAAACCAATTGCTATGATAATGACTGTAAGCTTTTAAGAGACTGAAAGACCTAAAGACAGCTAATGTATGGACAACAATGGACCATTTCATTCTTCAAGGTTGTCCATGCATGCCCACCTCCAAGAAAAATATAACTTAAATTATTGTAAGGTGCCATCTTCCATTACTGCCAACAGCAACTCATTCCATAAGCCACTCACCCTATTAGAAAAATAAAACTGTCTTAACTAAAGCCTAGCCTCTTTTTTCCAAATCTGATAATTTTGTCTTCTTGTCTTATTTTCTTCATAATTCAGCACAAAGAATTTAAAGGCCCTTAACTTGATCTTCTGAATAATCTCATCTTTCTTTTCTCAAGAGAAACTTCATCTATCCATATAAGAAAACTCTTCCATTTTATGAATCATATTAAAATTTTAAGAGATTGAAAAAGAACCTGAAAACAGTTGCTGTGATTGTCAGCTTCAAAGCAACAGGTAGTTAAGCCTCATACAGTCCATGAAAATATAAGTAAACCAAACCTCATACAGTCTGTGAGATATAAACAAACCAAACCTCATACACAAGACAACCTTAAATGTCAGGGACACAGTTAACCATTATGACATACAAACTCAGTCTAAGCCTAATGGTGGCAAAGTCTACAACATCACATCCCTCACTGATCATGTGACTGATGATGTCACAGCATCAGGTCAGTAAGGTGCATTAATGTTGTTTACATTTTTCTGTTTTTTTTCTCTAGTCACTACAATAATAGCCAAAAAGTAGATTACTAGTTTTCTTTAAAAACTTGAAATTTTAGGCAGATATAGTCATCTAGCAAAAAAAAAAGGTAAGTTAAAACTGGGGCATTTGTTAAATCTCAAAAGATCCATTTGGGACACTGAGGCTGTCCTGGTTAAACTGAGACATATTGTCACCAAGCTGATACATAAAAATAAAGTCCAAACTTGTCCATAAAATATAGACAGATGAAATCTCATGCAGTCTATTAGATATAAACGGATTAACCCTCATACAGTCCACAAGATATAAACAGATTAACCCTCATACAGTCCACAAGATATAAACAAATCAACCTTCTTACAGTCCACAAGATATAAACAGATTAACCCTCATACAGTCCACAAGATAAAAACAAATCAACCCTCATACAGTCCACAAGATATAAATAGAATAACCCTCATACAGTGCACAAGATATAAACAGATTAACCATCATACAGTCCACAAGATATAAAGAAACCAAATCTCATATGATCCATAAGATAAAAACAAATCAACCCTCATACAGTCCACAAGATATAAACAAATCAACCCTCATACAGTCCACAAGATAAAAACAAAATAACCCTCATACAGTCCACAAGATATAAACAGAATAACCCTCATACAGTCCACAAGATATAAACAGATTAATCCTCATACAGTCCACAAGATATAAACAGATTAACCCTCATACAGTCCACAAGATATAAAGAAACCCAAATCTCATATGGTCCATAAGATAAAAACAAATCAACCCTCATACAGTCCGCAATATAAAAACAAATCAACCTTCATACAGTCCACAAGATAAAAACAAATCAACCTTCATACAGTCCACAAGATATAAACAAACCAAATCTCATATGGTCCACAAGATATAAACAAACCAAATCTCATATGGTCCACAAGATATAAACAAATTAACCCTCATACAGTCCACAAGATATAAACAGATTAACCCTCATACAGTCCACAAGATATAAGCAGATTAACCCTCATACAGTCCACAAGATATAAACAGATTAACCCTCATACAGTCCACAAGATATAAATAAATCAACCCTCATACAGTCTACAAGATATAAACAAATCAACCCTCATACAGTCCACAAGATACAAACAAATCTAGTTAGAAGTGTAAAAATTAAGCTACAAAACTGTACTGAAGTCTGTGTTGTTGATTTCAAAATCTTATAGATATTTTCTATTTATGTAACAGTAGCTATATACAAAATATCTTTGTGTACTTCATTTTGTATAAGAAATATGTTTACCCATGCAACAACTGGTATCCAGTGAAAAATTCTTTATTTCTCAAAAGTTTCACCTTATGGCTTTAACAAGAGGTAGACACCATACTTAACCCAAGCTCAACCTTAAATTATGACAGGTGATTTAATTTGTAATGATAACAATGTGTTCTAATGTACTGTTTGATATGCAGTCTTGTTATCAACAACAAAAACTAATAATAAATCAATGGCAAGAATATAAACAAGGTAAAGAAAATATTAATTTAAAATCAAAAACAAAAAAATGGTTCTCTTCATTAAACATGTTTGTATTCCATCGTGAACTATGCTGCTTGAAGAAAATCATGCAACAAACAGAATATTTATATTCATCCAGGTATTAAATTATAAACGTTACCAGTTGTGCTTAGTATTAGAGATAAGTTAATGCTTACTATTGTGTTTTACGATCTTCGATTGATAGTTAAAATTAGTTAAATACAGCTCGCTGAAGATCATAGTGTTGGGTTGATACTTAAAATAGTGCTGCATGATATCACACTTTAGCAGTAGAATGATCCTGTTAACTTTCTTTTGTATTTAAAAATAACTTTATCTGTAAGTACATGTGGTTTCCCTATATACTCTAGTGTGTGTGTAGCTATTTATAGTTTCTTACAAGTTTCAGTATTCAAAATACATTTGACAATTTATTAAGAACTGAATTTAAGAAGGGAAAAACCACCAGAAAGTCTGGTCTCTGATGATGATGATGATATCTTTATGTTGGTTTTGGTTTTTTTAATTTTGTACAAAGCTACATGAGGGCTATCTGCACTAGCTCTCCATAATTTAGCAGGTATAAACTAGAGGGAAGACAGCTAGTCAACACCACCAACTCTTGGACTACTCTTTCTCTTTTACCAATGAATAATGGGATTGACCATCACATTATAACGTTCCCAAGGCTGAAAGGGCGAGCATGTTCAGTGACATGGATTCAAACTCACAACCCTCAGATTGTGAGTCAAGCACCCTAACCACCAGGCGATGTGTTTTTGTAAATCTGTGTTTTGAGAGCTAGTGGTGAAAATACATCCTGTTTTATTCATATAAGACTTTATATATATAAGAATTTCTGTTTTACCTCGTTGTACCAGAAGTTAAATACTCTTCCAGATTTTAATGTTGATCTACATCACTTAATGACGATTTGGGTTGAGATGGTTTTGTCTGTAATTTATAAACAATTGTGACTTTTCTGAATAGTTGTTAGTAGCTGGAACTAATTTAACAATTCCATGTTTATACATTATTTCCTGCTTGTGTTTCTACAGCTAAGAGAACAACTGTAATACAAGTAGGAGAACCCTGGAGAGACATGACAGTAGAAAGAAGTATGCCTTCTCTAAAATTTTACCATGAGTTAAACTGCGGTGAGTGTTTACAGACAGTTACTAGTTATAATACAAATGTTTACTGTTCTCAGACTTCTACCACAATTTTATTTCTGCACTTTAAACTTCCTTATTATTATTATAGCATTAATGTTTTTTTTAATAGTTTATATATTTGATCTATAATAAATGTCTTGTGCAATAGTGTTTGGATATGTCGCCTAGAAGTTAAAATGTCAATAAAAAAAAATTCTTTATATACCTGAAGAAGGAAAAATATGTTTCTTGAAAAGTTAAAACACAAGCATTTTTATTTAATGTTTATCTTGTCTATTAACTGAATATTTTGTCTCACTGACTAAATTTGTTTTTGCAAGTTATTTCTTGTTTCCCATTTAACCTTTTCCTTCAACATATTTACCAATTATTACATGTATAACTGGTGTGTATTTTGTTTTACAAATGTATATGTATTTTTCGATGTGTGGGTGTGTAAATTTTACTTGTGTTGATTACCAGAAATAATGTTTTACAGGATTATGTGGATTTTTCTATTGAGGAATGTTATGTTAATTATATCTTGCATTAACCTTGCACGGTAAGATGTTAACTGGTGTTAATATAAACTTTTTCATGTATAAACTGTCATCCAGGTGTATGAAAAATTATCAGTGTATGTGTAGTTAGAATAAGGTTGGCAAGTACACAGGGTAGAATTTCATTGTGTTTATGAAGTTTGTGTAAGGAGCTGAACTAGAATCTAAACTCTTGCTTTTTTTTATATTATTTATGGAAAAGTAGTTTTGGAATCTCAAGGTAGCATATACCCTTTAAATGTCAAAAAATATCACAATTTATTTTGAATTAATTCTCCTTAGTTCAAACTAATTCTTCACATCACATCAAACTCTGGACCCATTTTCAGGAGCATACAATCATGTTTATAGAAATTATCAGGAACATAAGACATTTCTTTTGTATTTCTCTATTTTTATAATATGTAAATTAGCCATGGTGGTAATGCTACACAACATGTGCCAGAATATGTTTCTGTAGCTATTTCAATATATTTGCGTACAAAAAGTATAGTATGAAGATGTTTTTTTCTGATAAAAATAACAAATCCTCGATAACAATATGTAAAGAGTATATGCTACTGTAATCAACATGACAAGCCTAGTATGAATCTCAAATATTCAAAGTACTTTAAATTCAGGCCTCGATAACAATATGTAAAGAGTATATGCTACAGTAATCAACATGACAAGCCTAGTATGAATCTCAAATATTCAAAGTACTTTAAATTCAGGCCTCGATAACAATATGTAAAGAGTATATGCTACCGTAATCAACATGACAAGCCTAGTATGAATCTCAAATATTCAAAGTACTTTAAATTCAGGCCTCGATAACAATATGTAAAGAGTATATGCTACAGTAATCAACATGACAAGCCTAGTATGAATCTCAAATATTCAAAGTACTTTAAATTCAGGCCTCGATAACAATATGTAAAGAGTATATGCTACCGTAATCAACATGACAAGCCCAGTATGAATCTCAAATATTCAAAGTACTTTAAATTCAGGTAAAATAAATTGCAATCTTTATTTTCTGTCTCTAGACATTGAGTCATTCTGTAGTGCATATGGTCCTTGCTGGGACCCAATCATGGCTCAGGTCAACTTGTCCATGGAGAATATTAGTAAACCTTCAGCTGACCCCAGCCTCAGTCTTCCCTGGTGGGACAAAGTTAGACTTCTTTTACACGGACGTCTAACTATGTCCATCCAGCATCTTACCCTATTGATGCATGCCTCATTGGACCCATACAACATGATGGAACAGATGGAGATGACGTGGTCTGACGTTATTATTGATTGGACAAATGGTGAGATTGTTTGTTTAATTAGCTTGGAACTTCAGGATTGACACAGTAATGGCTCACGTGTTTCGAAAAAGGTGTGCAATGTGAAAATAACATGTACATAATATTTTTATCTATTTCATGTTATATCTCTTATTACAAAACAAAAATAATGGTCTTTGTTCATAAGTGTTTAATCTTAAAACAAATACTGCACATACATATTTTATGAATTACCTGTTTAAATATCTTTGAAGTTTTCATATGAATAGATTATTACGGAACTCACCACAATTTCAAAAGTTGTGAAAAAACGAGACCAGTTGGAATTAGCAAAGTATAAGATGAATTTACCGTATCCAATTTAATTTCTTACTTATGTGTAGCTGAAATAGAAAATGTGTCATTGTTTCCATATTATGTATTTTGAGAGAAGAGAAAATTGTTACACAAATACCTCATTTTTTGAAACTGTTTACGTACCATACTGCTTGTCGGTTAATAATTTTGTTGACTACATGGTTCTTGGTAACATATGAATCACACCATTTTCACTTTTAGTGACTTTCATTTAAACACCAGAAAGATTGAAAGTATGGTTGATGAATAAAAATGCAAACTATTCACTGACAAACGTTATCAAAACTGATTCAAAAGACAAAGTGTTAAACATATAATTTAATGAGCAGCTGCAGTAATAGTTACTTTTAGCATGAAAAAAAGAAACATATTTACACATATTAAGTAACCAAATCCACTCAGAACACAAATGAGAACTTTGAATTTTAGTTAAGTTTTTTTTATCAGTTCTACTAGGATAGCGACCATATCGAACTTCATATCATTTTGTGTGAGGAAGTTTATTTTGGTTTAATTTTTTGTTTATATATTAACTTTTATCCTCTTGTATTTTGAGTGTTTGAGCTTTTCTATTTTTTCATCACACACAGTTTTTAATACAGTTAATATTAATTGGATATAGACAGAGAAAAAAAAGCGTTTGAATTGTTCCACTGCATAATATTTATATTAGGCTTAAAATAGATGCAGAAGTCTAAGAAATAAAAATCACTGAAAAATAAACATATATATGTTTCAGCAAAGATCATGATGCAGGGAGACCTGGATATATACGTCCATACAGCTTCCAAGTATGATGACTGCAGACTGCTACACATTCCAAATTTGAAGTTTAGGTAAGTTGTTTTATAACGGGAGGACTGGCATGGCCTGGTGGTTAGGGAACTCGACTCGCAATCTGTGAGTCCCCGTCCCATCAAACATGCTCGCCCTTTCAGCCGTGGGAGCATTATAATGTGACAGTCAAT